TTTCAGGCACTGATCTTGACAGGTCAGCTGTCAAAAGTGGGCATCTGTGGCCATAAATTCATTGATCCTATAAACAAAATTCTGTCTGCACCATACAAGGGGAAGTCAGAGTAGATGCACTTACGGACAAATGAAATGGTCTGCAGCTGTATGACTAAAAAGTCAGGACTTTTTGTGTGGAAGGTTTTCCTGGCTTTGCATTTATCATGCCCATCAGCCTCATCTGGCTTTTATTGAACTGGTATTGTTCCCTTGGAGTTCTGAAACAGTACAGCAGGATACCTAAGGAGGGACTCAGAATGCTGTCTCTTCTAATCTTGGTTGGCTAGAAGTTTGAGAATCTATTTAAAGGCTTTATTTTTTAAAAATTCCACTGGAATTTGATGTGGACTGTGTCTTTCTGTTCTGGTCTTTTACATCAGGTGCTCAGAGGCATGGCCTTGCTCAGAAATGATGAAGGCTTACTGCTCTGGTTCTTAAGATTTGGGCAACAGCACAAGGCTTAGTGGAAGCAGGGAATTCACTCAGCCCGGGGCGCTCGGCTTCAGGCTGATGTGAGGGAATAATAAACTTCCCTTCCCGACTGGAAGAATCCCTAATCCAGAACATGGTTGCATTTTGAAGTGTTTGAAGGCAGAATTTTGGTTTCACTTTGGAGTATTTTTTTCCTTGTCACAGTGTACTCCTGAAGGCCAGGGGGAGAGAGAGGTCTGCATTAAAACACAAAACAACACAAAGCAAAACAAACATAAAAATCTTTAACTACTTTCAGACAAAAAAATAAAAAAAGGAATAAATACAAGTTTGGAGAGTATTTTTTTTTCCTCTCCTGTAGTTGTGCTTTGATTTAAATGGCCTTGCCTTAGGACTGTCTGAAGAGTCACTAAAATGACTTGGTGCTATCTCTCCTCCTTCGTGGGGAAAGATTGCCCAGCTTCTTAAAGCTGGGCTTCAGCCATGCCACTTCCCTGCCTATAAATCTAAAAGGCTGCTGGGGCCCTGCCCCACCCTGGAGAGGTCTTTGGACGTGCAGTGCCGTGCTGCACAAGCTCACATTGTGCCTCTTCTAGGACATGGGCACCCTTCAGTCCCAGCCTTGCAGCCGCAGGACTGAGCTGATGGGTTCTGACTTTCACATTGGCCTTGACCTACCAATAGAGATAATTTAACTCTGATTGCTCCCCTCCATTCAGTCCTCAATCATCTGAGGGCCTGTGACAAGATTTCGCTTAATCACCTGTGCTTGTGATTATTATCAAAAGCTTATTTCCTTCCATAAAAAAGCATAAAGAAGGAAGAAGAGCATAAAGAAGGAATAATGATTATTTGTAATGGCACCACCTATTACATTTGAATGGATCTCCTCCCATTTTTTCCACCATCTTTTTAAAACATCATAATTAAGTTTGTATGGTATAAAGTTTATATCCCAATTCTACTTGGTGGCTATTGATTCAGTTATTTTATAACAGATTATTTCAAAATCGTTTTCTCCTTGGACAAACAGCCCCTCAACATGGTAGGCAGGGAAGGTTTTTCTATTCCATTTTATACATAAGAAAATGGAACCTCAGTGGAGTCAAATTTGGTCCAAAACGTGTTTGTTGACTGACTTTTGTGTCTCAAGCACTGTGCTGCTGAGGTCACTCGGGTAAGTAGGTCCGTTGAGTCACAACCATATGCTAATTTCTTATCTCCAAGTATCCATCTTCTTCCCCAAATCTGTACTAGTTTTAATAAGTTGATCTTTGAGAGGAGAAAATGGCATTCAATGCAGGTTGGAAACCCTGAGATGGGAATACACAAGGTAAGATCTAGTCCAAGAGCCTGAGACTTTTAATGGTTTATGCAGACAGGCTTTTGGTCCCAGCGGTCAGGTAAGAACCAAAAATAGCACAGTGGCTCACAGATGTAGGTCCAAAGGATGACTCTGGAGATCATTTCTACTGCAGCTTTGTGGAGATTGGGCTAACCATTTCATGAGCTGTGAAGAATGTTCTCATGGAACATCTTAACAACAGGGGAAACTGGTGTCGGTTATGTGCACAGGCTTTGCACAATGTGTACAACTTTTCTGTAAAATCTAAAACTATTCTAAGATGAAAGCTTATTTTAAAAAATACAAGTAAGTGTTTACCAGACCGAGCTGAAGAGAAATGGCATTTTAGGCTGCAGGAACTTGATGCATGGGCAGGAGGGAGCACCACGTGCCTGAGAAAGGGAAGGGATTTGGTAGGGCGGGTAAGGACTGTGGCTGCATAACTGAAGTGAGGCTGAGAGTCAGGGTTGGGTCTCATGTAGGAAGGCCTTTCTCTTCAGCCAAGCTTAAATTTGCTAGGATTTATGCTGTAGGAAATGGGAATTCATTAAAAATTTTAATTAGCACAGTTCATTTTTGAGTTTATTTGTTAAAAAGGTACATACCAGCACAATGAAGGAGGACTAGAAGGGAGGGATGGGGAGGAAATCAAAGGGGAGGATGTTACAGTTCTTAGGGCAGAGGTGCTGTTGACTGAAGTCAGAAATAGGCTAGGAGCAGAGGGTGGTGTGGACAAGCCATAGGGGACAGAGCCCTTTTTGGAGCTGAGCTAAGACCCTAGAAAGACAGGGATTCATTCAACTGCTGCTTGTCTCTATTCTCCATTCTCATAACTGATTACACTCCCAATAGAAAGTCAGGTAAAGCCTGGTTGATCAAGTCCAAGCAGAGCTCTGTTCCAGGCCCTCATCCAAGCAAGGGCAGCCCAGAGTTGAGATGGCCCTGCACAGTGCCAGAGAGATTTGGCGGCAGGTATTAGGAATGCCAGTCCTGATGCAGGGCAGACTATCCAGTTCCTGAAACTGACATATCATCATTAGGACAAGATTGCTTCCATTATGACTCTGAGTCATTGAGGTGGTCAAGGCGACCTTCCTGACACCACTACCCCAGGGGGTGCAACCAGCCCACACCAGGGTTAAGCATCTCCAGTGCCAGTTCTGGGAATGAGACGCAGGCAGGCCAAATACACACCGTGAATCCAAGTCTATGCTGGTGAGGCCAAGGAATGCAGGGAATCAGCTTCTTTTTTCCTTTTGTCTGAGTTTGTCTCTTCCTTTTGATCAGTATTTTAATCCTGCTACAGGAGTTGTTTCTGGGTCCGCATGCTACTTCCTGAGACCCAGTGGAAAAATAGCCGTGATATATGCTTCTCACTATACCAGTTCCCAGAGTGTGATGTCTTTGATGTCCTTGAACAGGTTTGGGTAGGTCTTAAGTTTGCTTTTCATTGCAGTGCCCCCAAATTAACTAGTGGTGGCCAGGGAGCTTTTCAGAGAACATGGCCATGCTCTTAACCAATGATTCAGTCATCACTACCCGGCATCTTAATATTAAGATGGAGTGGGTCTTAGCTGGCATCATGTGGCAGTGACAGCAGAGCTTTCCAGGTCTCTTTCAGACTGGTTCTAGTACCAGTTACCTCATTCTGATGTTTCTGCCTTGAAGCTTCAGGGTTCTAGTATCTTTCAGGTGAAACAGTCCCATAGATGCTGGAACTATGGCCTTATAGTTAAGGCTCATTGTGCAGACCCTGTCACAGATGTCAGAGCTTTAGGAAATGCTGGGAGAGTTGAAGTGTCCTTAAGTGACAGTATTGGTGGCACTATCCTTTGGGCCCCTGGTGGCACTTCTGCACAGAAGGGTTATTCTTTTGCTTAGCTTCACTAGGGGTCTTGTGGGTTTCCCTGCGAGAAGTAGATGCTGCCTGTGGCAGGCTGATCCTTTCACTCCTTGCTAGGTAAATGCAGCAGCAGCTGGGAGCTTGTTAGACAGGAATAATCTCAGTCCCCAGAACCAGAAGCGTGTCCAAAATCCCTGGGTGACTTGTGCACATGTTAGTTGAGGATCCCTGTTTTAATCTGTTGCAGTGTTTCACAATCCTTGCTGTGCATTAGAGTTCCTTGGGGAGCTAAAATATCCATATCCAGCCCACCCACTGATAGACTAAATCAGAATCTCTGGGGGTGAGGCCCAGCCATCAACATGTTTTAAAAGCCCTCTTAAGAGATTCTAATATGCAGCTAATTAAGAGGCCCAGTGACCTAGGAGAGCAGCGTTTCTCACAGAGGATTGCCAGGGAAGCGTAAACATTCCTCATGCCCAAGTGCTGAGGTCCTGATGAAATTGACTTGAGACGGGGGCCAGTCAGTGTCTGTATTTTTTACATCTCACCATTAATGATTGAGAATCATCGATCAGGTGGAGGTTTCAGTGTGGAGGCCCTGCGGGGATACAGGGAGGGGAAGCAGTCCTTAGAATATCTCTGTGTCCTGTTGCTTCTGAGCCAAGAAAGGGTCTCCTTGGCCACCGTAGGGTGCCTGTCAGAGGTGCATCAGGCTGTGGATAGACCCTACAGGCTCCAGAGGGTTACCGCGGATCAACTGCATGTGGAGTCTTGGCTTCTGCTTGCATATTGGGAAATTATGACGTTTGCACTTCAGTGAAGGCAGGGAGCACACGCTTGACCCTGCTTGTGGTAGGCACCAGGGGAAGACAAGCTGTACACTTGTACACTGTACACTGTGCACGGCTTCCCTGTTGAGCCTCCTTCTGCCCTGGTGGCAGCAGTGACTGTCCTCAAGGACCCTCTGGCCTGGGCAAGTCAAAGGAAGGATTAGAGAAAGAGGACACTTTGTGGGTGATTCATTGACATGGCCTCAGTGGGTGAAGAGAATAAAACTGGACAAAAATGCTCATTCTAGAAATAGGTTCTTACCCATTAGTTTTATTTTAAATATACTGCAAGTCCTCAAGTTGCAGATGAGCTCATGGAGGAAGTGGACTTTCCTTCTGTCACACTGTTACTCTCCCTAAGGTTTTAAGATGACTCTGGGTTTCTGGGAAACTCACTGGGCTGCTGGTCATCCCTCTGCCTGACTCAGGATCCCAGGTAGGGGGCGAGTATGCAAGGTGTGTACAGCTGTCTGTGTGTCCCTCATGCTCTCTTTCTCCTTCACAGCTGGCGACATGGGACTCCGAAAAGGGCCTGAATGGCAGCCTGCAAGAGAGGCCCATGGGCAGCCGCCTGCAAGGACTGACTCTCAAAGTGGTGACTGTCTTGGTAGGATCATGGGCATTTTGGGGAGGCTGACTTTTGAGTCAGAGGCTTCCTTCCATGTGGTTTAATGCCGGTTTGGAGAGAAGGGGATCTTGAGTAGTGGCTTCAACTTTCATGAGGACTTTTACTCAAACCGATTTTGTAAATAGTGAAGGAAGAGTAAGATTGGAGATGCTGACCCAGGGCCTCTGAGGCCTTCCTTGGGAGGTCACTGGGCTGCTGTAAAGGAGGACCACTAATCCGGATGCCCTGCTGAGCTCCTGCTTGCTCTCAGATGTACACAGGATCTTGGCCTACTGCTCATCCTTAGGAGAGCTTTGCTGGGAGCCAGGTTCCCAGAAAGATGTGGTGGGGGGGACATTTTTACAGCACCCAACACCACTGAAGATGGGCACCTTGTGACACAAAATGCATAATGAAGACCATTTGTTGTGATTTTTCTGCACGGTTGTCCTGGAGTCATAGACATACCTCTTGTTAGCTGGTCAGACATGGCCCAAATATTCCTGTCTGTCTCAGCAGGCACTGGCATCTCCTTGGCTCTAGAAGCCTTTGGCACTAGTGTTCCTGAGTTCCCATATGTGCACCACAAATAAGTGTTAATACACTGTCTTGCCCCCAGAATTAAATGAATGAAATGTATTCTCTGGGGTTGTTTGCCAAATGGCCCCTTCTTGTTCAGTTTCACAGGATTGTGGAGGGGAAGACTAGGTGTTTTACAGATGACCACATGGCATGTGGAGTACGTGGGACACAGCACAGTGTGAATGTGAACAGGACATGGTTTTAGACTCGGGGACTGTGGGATTGAATCCTGTCCTATACTTTGACTTGTGGTATGAACTTTTCCTGTGAATCAGCATCCATTTTCTAGAATCTGATAGATGTCATACTGTCTTCTCTCATTCTAGTATCATAGGGCTTTATTGTCATTTATTATCCTAGATGAGAAGTATCCACATTTGCTATGAGGGTCCTTAAGAATTATGGCATCTCCTAAGGACAGGGTCCTGAACTCTATACTTTGACTTGTGGTATGAACTTTTCCTGTGAATCAGCATCCATTTTCTAGAATCTGATAGATGTCATACTGTCTTCTCTCATTCTAGTATCATAGGGCTTTATTGTCATTTATTATCCTAGATGAGAAGTATCCACATTTGCTATGAGGGTCCTTAAGAATTATGGCATCTCCTAAGGACAGGGTCCTGAACGTCACAAATGAAGGAATGAAAACAAGCCATGTCATTCTGGGAGATGGGATTCTGGGTGGAGCCTGCATAACATCAGACGGGACAAGTAAATCTTCGTTCCTCCATCAGCATGCTGGTTGGAGGGCTCTTCCCATGCACTGAGCCCTTAGTGTCCATAAACTGGTTTAGAAAAGGGCAGGACTAAATAGGATAACACATGCACAAATGTTCTAAAGTTGTGATTCATCAGATTGGTCTGTCCAATGATACCCTGGAAAGATGTGTATTATACATCTGTTATTTAATTGAGGAACATTCATTGTGTGTCCTCAGGAAGAGCCTTTCGTGATGGTGGCTGAAAACATCCTTGGGCAGCCCAAGCGCTACAAAGGGTTCTCCATAGATGTCCTGGATGCACTGGCCAAGGCTCTGGGCTTCAAATATGAGATTTACCAGGCCCCCGATGGCAGGTACGGTCACCAGCTCCATAACACCTCCTGGAACGGGATGATCGGGGAGCTCATCAGCAAGGTAGGTCCCAAAGCAGGTCCATGGGGACAGGCACCCTTGGCTGGGGTGATAGCTGTGTTTGGCCCATTGTGTAGTTGTAAACATGGGACCGACTCAGCAGACTGTGGTCACCACTCTCCACACACCGAGGCCCTGTTTTCCTTATGCCCCCCATTCCACTCCTCCTGCTCCTCCCTCTATACCCATTTCTGCTCTTGAATGTTCTCATGCCCTGGCACTCAGTGTTTTCCTTCTGTGCCGCTGCTCGCCTTCCTTTGAAGCCTTGCTCTGTATGCCCTTCAGGAGCCCACCCCCTACAACACTGGGGCTGAACTGGGAACTCAGTTCTCACTGGGGTGCTGGTGAGTGCTTACTCTCCTCCCCTTCGGGGCCCAGAGGTAGTGTTTACGTGTGCATGTGTGTGCGTGCATGTGTCTGCATTGCTCTGTTTAAGTGGTACAGCATTCCCAGCTCCTCATATCCATTGCAAAGCATTGCTCTTCCTTCCTCCCTGAGGACCTGGATCCTTCCTGGGACTCACGGCATGAGGCCAATTCACTGTGTCCCCACCCTTGTGTCTGTCATCCCATGACCTCTGGGTAATTTCCTGACAGTCATTTATAAGGTGGCATCTGCTGAGACCCTGCCCATCCAGTATTATTTTTTGCCACCTACCTTGACATTTCTGACATCCCTAAGGACAACTGTGGGCTTTCCGTGCCCATGCTTTGACTTCCTCACCTCCAGTGACCTTTGCTTGGGCTCCACTTCAGCACCTGCACCTGTGCATTTTGTTAGCATCTTACCTGTTGCTGTCATCTCCCAGTGCATGACAAGACCTGTTGTGGCTTTTGTTGTGACTGACTCTTTGGGGCTTTTGTTCCTAAAACATGGGTCCTTCTTTTATAAACCCACTAAGGCAGGCAGATATGAGGCCCCAAACCTCTCCAATTTTTCCTAAACTTAAAAACAACCCCAACTTTATCACAGTGTAATTTAATTTATATATAAAATTTATGCACTTCAGATATACAACTCACTTATTTTTAATAAATCTACTGAGTTGTGCAATGTCATCATAATCTTGTTCTAGAATACTTCCATTCCTCAATGAGATGCCTCATACTTATTTACAGTAAATCACATTCCCAGCCCAGCCCTCAGCAACTATTCATCTAATTCCATCTGTATAGATTTGCTTTTGTGAACACTTAAAATAGTCATAAAATACGTAGTTTTTATGTCTTGCCCTTTCCACTTAGCACCTGTACGTGAGGTTCAGCCTTCTCTCAGATTTCTGTGCCTGCTGATACCGTATCCCTTCTTGCTTGGTGTGCCCTCTGTAGTTGAACAGACAAACCCTGTTCCCTTTATCCTTTGTAACTCTTTCCTCTGTGCTCTTGATTTTCATGCTGCAATGAAACCCTGACTTGATTCTATTCTCTGCTCCCTAATTCTGACCCCCAGCTTGCTGTATGCGGTTAGAGAAGAAAATCACAAATTTGTCCAGATGGATGTGGGAACAGTGTGTGGCTGCCGAACTCAGCTGGGCCTTCAGGACAGTCTGAGTTCCTTAAGTTGTCTTCTGTTACACCCCTTGGCTCCATCCCTTAGAGACTGTTTGGAAAGTTTTTCATTCTCCTCAAGTAACCTAATGACTTCCCTCAATTAGAAAAAAGAAAGTGTGTTCTTATTTTAGAGAAAGAAATTGAGACTTCTAGGCATGAAATTCTGCCTCAACTTCCTACGAAATCCACATCTACAGAAACCCGCCCTAACCTCCCGTTTCTGAGCAGGGAATCTTTTCCACCTGCTCCAGGTCCCTGCTCTGTCCGTGCCATGAGTCAGTTCCCTTGGGCCTTGCCTTGCCCTGGCTTCACGAATTAGTTTCCCCCTTCCTCTGTTGTAAACTGATCCTAGTCCACTAGCTCTCCATTTCTTATTTTCAATCCTTAAGTATGCTCCAAATTTGCTGAATCCTTAACAAACAAGATCCCCAGATCTTGGGGAGAAGAACAGCAAAAGTCAGAGATGCGAATGTGGCAAGTGTGAGAGCTCTGACATAGTCATCTCAAGCAGTTTTTCTCTTTTCTCTAGATACGTTGTTAGATTTCATAGTTTAGAATATCAGTATATATCTGCCCCTCTACCCTACATATGAAACCTGATAGCATCTACGTATGTTTCCCCAGTTTGAATATGTAGGTAGGATCAGTTGTCATATTTGGTGAATCTAAAATAAACCTGGTTCTGCTGATGTCTCCTACTTAGAGGCCCAAGAGCCAAGATCAAGATGCTCACTGTACGTTTTAGTGCTCTTGGCTAAAGCAGGATCTTTAGGCTCATTATTTCCTGCCATCATCCATCTAGGCTTAAGGATCCTAACTTGTCTTGGCAGCTTTAACCTCGCAGTCTAGCTCCATCTTAAAGGGCCTTTGCCTGTTTTTAAAATTAAGCCCATCTTGGAAACAAAAGTCTTGGGAAGGAAGTACCCTTGAGGGCACAGTACATGCCCAGAGTGTCCCCTCAGAACATGGCTTTACTATACAAAAAGTCAACCCAGATGTCTGAGAGGCCATGAGTAAAGGGAGGTGGGAGATCAAAAGCAGCAGACGATTCTTTTTTTCCTGGAGGGTGTTGCTCTCTGGCACAGAGTCTTCATACAAAGCAACCAGGGACTGATCTGTTAGTAAGAGTCAGGTAGTTGTATAAATTTACCTGTAACTTCTAAAGTAGTTTAGAAAGCAAAGACGTGTGTGTGGACTAAGGGAGTTTGGAGAGACTTGGTGGAAAAACAGTATCCCTGTGGCCTTGAAGTATAGGAAGGATGCAGATAAGCCTGGAACAGAAAAGGCACTTCTTGGATGGGGAAAGGGAGGATAGAAGGGAATACCAGCAAAAGAAAGGAAATAGCTGAAGTTTGCTGATGGGAACAACAAGAAAGTGAGGAAAAACTATAGTTCAAGATAGACTAAAGATGCTTTTTAGGCTCTTTTCTCCAGAAGAGGTTTCCAGGAGTTTCTAGGTGTGGGAGAGAGATCTGCAGGGTGAGGAGGTAATAATAGACAACTTCGTGTTGGGTTTTCCTTCCTATATTCAAGGTCACAGGGTATCAAGTCTTGGATGCATTTCTTCTGAACCCGAGCAACCTAGAGGACAGAGGGCAGGCCTTGACCCCAGGTGGACCCCAGCCACGAGCTGAGGACTGCCATCTGATGAGATGGTTTTGCTTTTCAGAGAGCAGACTTGGCCGTCTCCGCCATCACCATTACCCCAGAGAGGGAGAGCGTTGTGGACTTCAGCAAGCGGTACATGGACTATTCAGTGGGGATCCTGATCAAGAGACCTGAGGAGAAAATCAGCATCTTCTCTCTCTTTGCTCCGTTTGATTTTGCCGTCTGGGCCTGCATTGCAGCTGCCATCCCTGTGGTTGGTGTGCTGATATTTGTGTTGAACCGGATACAGGCTGTGAGGGCTCAGAGTGTTGCCCAGTCCCGGCCATCCACTTCTGCCACCTTGCACAGTGCCATCTGGATTGTCTACGGAGCCTTTGTACAGCAAGGTACCTTTGTGATTGCCTCATGTTGTAGTGGCCCCAGGGGCCTGGAAGAACTTGTCCATTGGCAAAAGTTCTCAAATGCATTTTGCCAAAGTCATTTAAAATGCAGTTTAATCTCTAGGGCAGTGCTAATATGCTACACCCAATTTATCTGAGTAACATCAGATAGAAGTGAAATGAAATGACAAGGAACTCGACTTTAAATCCTGTTTTTCCACTTCAGATAAAATTTACTTTGGTGTTCTGTTCCCCACTTTCCTCCCCTCACATACTAGGTTGATTGTTAGGTGCACAGGACTGTCAAATGAAACTGAATCTTTCTTAAATTTGAAGTCTTAATGGAGAAAAAAAACACAAGTGTTTGTAATCTAAGCACTGCTCCAGCCATTCTTGAGACACAGTCTCTTACCTCTTAGAAGTCTAGAGAGCACGTGGTAACTTACGGGATTGCACAGTTTTGTCAGGAAAGGACAAACTGCCAAGTTCCTAATGTGAGTCTTGCCCTTGTTTGCGGCAAAACATGTTATCAACTGTTTGTGAGGTTTATGTAAGAAGGGTCGGAGAGAAGTTCCCTTCTGCTACCACCCAAGGGACCAATGAGAAATAATTGGCCTCAAAGAGGCAGCTTCTGACTGAAAGTTTACATGCAGTGGCTTCTGAAAATGGTAGGGGAAAAGAGTCATCTACCAAGAGCTTAATATTAATAAAAGTGATATGGCACATCTCATTTCTGAGGTTTAAAAGATAGCTAGGGCTCCCTCCTGGCAGGAGATAATTCTATACTTACACAATTGCCGAGATTACTCTGTGTGAATTTGAAACTGGAAAGGGCCCTTATATCAGGTTGCCACCCTGGAAGTTCTCAATAGTGAGGCAGACTCTCCAGCTGGTTAATTCTGATATTCAGAACTACTACAGCCTTGGCACTTTGGTAAGCATCAGATCACCAAAGGCCCAATCCGGGCTTTTCTGTATTTTGTGGTTGTCCATCCCTTTCCAGATTGGTGGTGCTGGTATTCTTTCCCAGAACTGTCACAGTTCCCCTTAACCAGCTGGCAGCCATGTGCCTCTCCCCTGCCCATCACCAGGGGTGATTTCCCATGCCCAGCTGCAGGGTGGAGCATTTCTGTGGGCCGGGAGGTGAGGCCGAAGCCAAGTGCCAATCCACCTCACTTTACCCCGCAGGTGGCGAGTCCTCGGTGAGCTCCGTGGCCACGCGCATTGTAATGGGCAGTTGGTGGCTATTCACCCTTATCGTGTGCTCCTCCTACACGGCCAATCTCGCTGCCTTCCTCACCGTGTCCAGGATGGACAACCCCATAAGGTAAGGTCTATTCCTCCTTCCAGGTCTGGGACCATTCAGCTCTGAGAGGCTGTAAAGAGAGGCTTCAGCCCTGTCGAGGGCAGCCTGGTGTCTCGGAGGCAGAGACAAGTTTAGATTCTGGATCTGCAACTTGATGGTTGTAATCTTTAATGCACGAAGAGCTCCACTCTTTTTGTATTTTATCTTGTGCGCCATTAGATAAATGTATAAATTGATTAAGTAATATTTCCCTGAACATTTAAATGCTGCTCATAGGACCAATAAAAAAATCAAAACATTAAGAATTAACAAATTGTTTCCTCATATATTTAAACACTGATTACAAATGTATTTAATCACAATTTTCTAAAAATTTAATTAAAATGAATTAAAACCACAAGTCCTAATATATTTTTCAAATCTTCAAAACACCTTAAAACTTTTTAAGAATATGCCAATTATCACACTGCTTAGAAAAGTTATTTCACTTATGTTTATAAAATTATTGAAACCAAGGGCTAAAAATATTTCTTCATTTTACTAAAATGTGAAAAATATGGCACAAAATATAGTGAAATAACTTGGAAATGCCTTTGTTTTATGATCAGATTCCTACATGCTATGTAAATTACAAAGGATTTTGGACAAATTGAACCTATGTTGGATATGTGGTTGCTGAGGTCACCAAAGGCACAGACAGATCCAGTCTACACTTCCTTGGATATAGTATCAGTTTCAGCATCACCTCTCATGTGGTCCCTGATTATGGTTTTCTGGGTCCCTGCCTTCAGTAATTTTCCCTTTAATTCATCATACACTCTATCATCATATTGATTCTTTTGATCCACAGCTCTAATCAAGTCATCCACATTCAATCAGCTTCTATGGATCCCATCTGCCTATTTAAAAGACTTGAGACTCCTCCTTAACTGGGATTTAAATTCAGTATGATACTATCTAGCTTTAGTTTTTTAGTTGACATTTTTATTGAGATCATGATAAATCCACATCCATTATAAGAAGTAATGCAGAGATCTCATAATATCCTTTAACCAGTTTCTCCCAATGGTAACTTGTCCAAAACTATAGTATCATATCAAGACTGACTTCTCCACTTGTACTCATTTCTGTGTGTTTGTATGTGCATTTGGTTCTACACAAGTTTATTACATGTGTAGATTTTTGTATCGATTACCACAGTAAAGATACTAAACAATTTTATCCCTACAAGGATCTTTGGGTTGTCCTTTTCTAACCACACCCACCTCATTCACACTTCTTCTACCTCCTGTCTTATTCCTAACCCCTGGCAACCACTAATGTGTTATTTCATTTCTAAAATTCTCTCATTTCAAATATGTTACATAAATGGAGTCATATCTTTTGAGACTGGATTTTTCACTCAGAATCATTCTCTGGAGATTCATCCAGAGTGCTGTGTGTATTAATAGGTCATTGTTTTTATTGCTCAGTAGTATCTGATGTACCACAGTTTAATGATTCACCCATTGAATGACATCTGGGTTATTTTGGTTTTGGCAATAATGAATAAAGTTGCTGTGAACATTTGTGTGTAGGTTTTGTGTGAACATAAGTTTTTGCATGTGTGTGACACATATCCAAGAGTGTAAATTACTGGGTCATGTGGTAATTGTATATTGAGTTTTATAAGGAACTATCAAAACTGATTTTCAGAATGACTGTACCATTTACATTACTACTAGTGAGGTCGGAATGATCAGTTTCTTTGCATCTTTGCCAGCATTTAGTTTTGTCATTATTTTTTATTTTACCATTCTGGTAGGCTTGGAGTGATACCTCACTGTGGTTTTAATTTGCATTTCCTTATTAACTAATTATGTTGAACACCTTTTCATGTGCTTATTGTTGTCTATTCTTTTTTGTGAAGTACTTGTTTATGTATCTTGCTCATTTTCTAATTGGATTATTTGATTATTACTGTTGAGTTTTGAAAGTTGTTTGTTTTAAATCTAGGCCTGGAGATTTCATATTTTTAGAGTTTTTAAGTTATGAATTAAAATTTTCATAGCTATAGGACAATTCATGATGTCTATTTCATTTTCAAGTCTAGTTGGTTTGTAATTGTTCATGTCTCCCATTTATTTGCTTATCTTCTATCTAGTTGTTCTATCAGTTATTGAAAATGGGGTATTGAAGTTGCCAACCATTTTTGAAGAACTGCCTTCAGTTTTATTTACTTTGCTTCCTGTATTTTGGGGCCCTATTATTTGGTATATATATTATGTTTATAATTATAATTGTAATATATTGTTAGATGATTCTTTTACCATTATAGAATGTCCTTCTTTGTCTCTAATAAAATTTGTCTTTAAGTCTAGCTTGTCTGATATAAGTATAGCCTCTAGTTGTCATTTAAATATTGTTTGTACAGAATATTTTTTCTATCCTTTTACTTTCAGTCTATTTGTCTTTGAATCTAAAGTGACTTCTATACAAGATACAGTTTTTTAATCCATTCTACCAATCTTTATATTTTAATTGAAGGCTTTCATCCACATATTTAATGTTATTAATGATAAGGAGGAACTCCTGCCATTTTGCCATTTGTTTTCTATGTATCTTTTTTGTTCCTCATTTCCTCCATTACTGCCTTCTTTTGTGTTAAATAGATATATTTTGCATACCATTTTAATTTCCTTGTTATTTTTTACTACAGTGAGTTACATTCTTAGTAATTACCTTCAGCATTACAATTAACATCTTAATTTATAACAACATCATTTGGTTTAATACCAACTTTATTTTAATTCATAAAAACTCTATTTCTACATCACTCTGTTCTACTCCACCCCTGCCCCTACAAATCCTTTCTGAAGCTGCCTGATCCCTTCCTTTTTAGGAGGTTGTTATTTTTTTTCCAATTTATTTAATAGACAGTCTTGTATTTTAGTTTTTAAATTGTTGTTTTTAATTGTTTTACTTATTGAATAAACCACAATTTATTTAAAAACAACTTTAAGTATTAGAATGCATTATTATACATGTTAATTGTTTCTAATTTTTATTTTTAAATTGTGGCAAAATATACATAACAAGTTTTATCATTTTAGCCATTCTTAAGTATACAGTTTACTGTCATTAAGTATATTCACATTGTTTCGTAAACATTACCATCATTTACCTTTAGAACACTTCAGCTTGTAAAATTCAAAGTCTATGCAATACTCCCCATTCCTCTCTTCCCCAGACTCTGAAAACCACAAATCAATTTTTCTCTATAAATTTGACTACTCTAGACACCTCATGTAAGTGAAATAATACTGTTTTTGTCCTTTTATGACTGGCTTATTTCACTTAGCATGTTTTCAGTGTTCATCCATGTTGCAGCACGTCTCAGAATTTCCTTCTAACATTCCATTGTATGTATATACCACATTTTGTTTATCCATTCCTCTGTTGGGGAACACTTGGGTCGCTTCCATTTTTTTGGCTATTACTTAATAATGCTGCTATAAGCATAGATATACAAATATCTCAAGTGCTTTCTTTCAGTAACTTTGGTTATATACTCAGAAGTCGAATTGCTGGTAATTCTAGGTCTACTTTTTCTGAGGAACTGCTTTACTGTATTCCACGGCAGCTGCATCATTTCACATTCCAACCAGCAATGCACAAGGATTCCAGTTTCTCCACATCCTCATCACCGCTTGTTTTCTGTTTTGCTTGTTTTTGTTTTCATACTAACTAACTATCCTAATGGGTGTTAATTGATACCTCATTTTGGTTTTAATTTGTATTTCCTTAATGAATAATGATGACAAACATTTTTTCATGTGTTTATTGGCATATCTTCATTGGAGAAATGTCTTTCAGAAATGTCTATTTAAACTATTAAATCATTTAAATTTTTAAACAAACCAATCTTTGAATTTTTTTTTTGTTATTGAAGTTTAGGAGATTTTTTATATGTTGTGGATACTAAATCTCTTATCAGATATATGATCTGCAAATATTTTCCATGCCATGGGTTGCTTTTCCATTCTGTTGATAGTGTCCTTGGATGCAGGAAAGTTTTTAATTTTTGTAAAGTCCAAATTATCTATTTTCTGTTGTTGCTGGCTTTGCTTTTGTTCTCATATCTAAGAAATCATTGCCACATCCAATGTCATGATGCTTTTCCTGTATGTTATCTTCTAAGAGTTTCATAGTGTTAGGTCTTATATTTAGGTTTTTGATCAATTTTGAGCTAATTCTTGTACATGGTATAAGGTAAGGGTTCTACTTCATTCGTTTGCATGAGGATATTCAGTTTTCCTAGCGCCATTTGTTGAAAAGACTGTCTTTTTCTCATTGGGTGGTCTTGATACCCTTACTTAAAGTCATTTGGCCATATAGGACAGTATTTTAGAGCTTTCTATCCTATTCCATTGTTCTATATATGTTTGGCTTCATGCCAGTACCACACTGTTTTGATTACTGTACCTTTGATTTTGAATTCAGTTGGTTTGAGAGCTCCAACTTTGTTCTTTTTCAAAATTGTTTTGACTATTTGGGATCCCTTGAGATTCCATATGAATTGTAGGATGGAATTTTCCATTTCTGCAAAAAAAGTAATTCTTTGAGCAATTATTTAGCAACAGGGAGATAATTTCTGAGACAGCATATCTGAGACTATTTTTTCTATTACATTTAAACATGAATGAAAACTTGTTTGGTGTAGTATTCTTGGGTCACAGCGTTTCACCCTGACATTCTGTAGAACTCGCTCCATTGCTCTTCTTGTATGTAATGCTGCGGAGAAGCATGAGATGCTCTGTTCACCTCCTTCTCTCCTCCACTCTTGATTGCCCCTTCTCGCTCTTTCCTCTCTTCCCTTTTTCTCCCTTCTTCCTTCCTCCTTCCTTTCCTCTCCTCGCCTCCCCTTTCCCTCCTGTTTTACACTTTCTCCCTCTTCCCCCACTTTAATCCTTCCTCCTCCCTCGCATCTCTTTCTCTCCTCCTCATTCTTCTTGTCACTTTCCTCTTTCTCCTCCTTTTTC